CAAGAAGAAAAAAAAAAATTCCCCATTGAAAATCTATTCAAACTAGGTGAAATTATCTGTGCATGCAGCAAGATATTTTTAATTACGAAAGATTTTAGATTTTTAAATCTAGAAATAAGTTTAGACTATACTTTAAATTAAAAATTATGTTTTAAAGTTAAATAAATCATCTAACACTTGTATATCTAAGTTTATTTTATCAGTAAGAACTAAATACTTTGCAGTGTAACCTTCCTACTCCACATGTATTCCTACTCTCCTTGTTTTCTTCTATGCCTTTCCTTAGTGAAGACTTTATTTAGATATAGAAAATCTCTTCAAATAAGTACTAGAAGGTATCAAACGATCACAAATCAGGGACTAATTGACTTCACTCACCTCAAACCCTTCATCATATGCCCAGAACTAGCTGCAACATGGTGCAGGTTTTAGTATCTGTTGCTTTGCTGCAAGAAAGGCGGTAAAGACGATGTCTGGATGGCAAACTAATGCAGCAATCTATTTTCCCTCCCAGCCAGGCTGTGAGAACGTCTGCTATGACCAGTTCTTTCCGGTCTCCCATATTCGCCTCTGGAGTCTTCAGCTGGTCTTTGTGTCCACACCGACCCTCTTGGTTTCTATGTACGTGGCCTATCGTAACCACTGCGACAGGAGACGACTCCTTCAGGTGGGTGTTTCACTTTAGCTGTTAATCAACAACAGTAATGAGGCAATCTGTCTTAGCAGGGATTGTATGTTTAAATCTAACCAGTGCCTAGACAAAAGAAGTCTTTAAAGTCACCTATGTTCAAACACGGTGGTGGTAGTATAATGGTTAGGGGTTGTTTTTCTGCTTTGGGACATGGAAATCTTCTCATAACTCGTAAAAAAAAAAGTAATTATGGTTTCTTTATAATAACTTATTGTCCAAATATTTTCCACACTGCAAGTATGTATACTAGAAAGATGTTAGACATGTATTGTGTAATTTAGTTTTCTTTTTCACTTATCCCCCTGGAACAACAGATGGAAAATAGCCTTTAGCAAGAAACCGTTGTGTTTATATTCATGTTATCATCATTTGTCTATATTAACAAACTCTGTCTCTTTTAAATAAATAGATGAAATAGTCAAAGCAAAAAAAAAAATATTTAAAATAAACACACTTGTTACCTTGAAAGGACAGAGTGGTTTTTATTGGCAAGAATCAAGAATTGCTTTGATAAATACACATTATGTGAAAGATTGATAAAATCATATCAACAATAAATGTTTCCTCATAGCTTAGAATTAACAGTTTATAAATTCACCCAAGGGGAGACTCCATGTTGGGTATCCATTTTGAATCAGAGTGACCAAAATGGGAAAGACGAGGGGTTTTACCTGTATCTGAAAACATTATCATTCCACCATTCACTTTCTGGTGCAATGGAGGAACATCTTCAATCTTCGTCTGGCAAGAGGCAAGAAAACCAAGACAAAAAGGGAAAAAGAGGTAATAATGGCATAGCTTTAACTAGGTGGAAACTATTTATGTGGAAGCAGGTGGTTTAAAATGGACACAGAGGTTTCCGTCTTTCTGTTGGACCGGAATTCAATATAACAGTGAAGTTTATTTTGGTGTTATGTTAGAAGCACAGTAGTGATTTGTTTGTTATCCCTCCTGGATGTCCTCCGTTAGTAACAGTTATTATTCTTCAAAGAAATGATAAAAGGTGGGCGACTTTAAGCTTCTTTTAGCTCTGTTTTCAGAGACATTTTCCATGTGTTTCAGATGCTGGTGAAGATTCTCAGTCATCCAGGTCATAGTCATTCCAAAAACATAAAAAAAAAAACAACAATCCCCTGGACTTTGATTCCAAGTTTTAAGACCTTCCGCTTCCCTTATAGGAAGCTTTTTCAATTCCAAATGTCAGAAATAGTGTTGAGTTCTAGGCTTTATAGAGTGGACTAAAATAAAGCCTTGTTTTGGCAAATTGAGCCAGCAGAACGGACCTGCCCCTTAGGAATGGGGAGTCGTTTGGGTTCTTTGTTAGCCTACAACACCTGATACAGGTCTATGCCTCCATACAGGGGACCAGAACATCTCGCCTGTTCAGCCAGGCCAACAATTACCCCTAAGGACCCCCTTTCAGAGGCATAGACCAGTATCGGGTATTGCAGGCTAACAAAGAACCTAAAAGACTCCACGTTCTTAAGCGACGGACCCATTTGTCCATTTCAATTTGCATGTTTTCTAATGCCAAAGCAAGGCTTTGTTTTTGGTCCATTCTATTAAGCCTCAAAATTATTGCTAATTCTGACATTTTGAATTGAAAAAGATTCACGGTAAGTGGAACATCTTCAATGTTTCAGAATTTATTTGAGCTAATATATCAAGCTTGAATAAGCCATCTCTGTCCTCCCGGTAGAGACAGCTAGTTTGCTTGTTAGCCTAAACTGGAAGAGCTCTGATGCAACAGTTACCAGCATTCAGAAGGAGTAGAATGTCACTCCGTGGCTTCCGTAGAAGGTCTCACAACCTTAATGAGGGGGCAGCCATCTGTCATTTGTAATCATTTTAAGTCACCCCTAGATGGCGATAAATCTTACACAATGTCCCTTTAAATGAAATCCTAATTTGAAACAGAGTTTTATATTTTCTCTCTTATTGTCTGACTCTTGCAAGAGTGCCAAATCAGTCTAAGAATTTGTTTTTTCTGCATTCAATTAGAGTTATATATGCTATGAGTCTTTATAATATGTGCATGAAACCCAAGGGGACCCAAGCTGAAGCTATGCTTATGTAACATCATACTAAAATTATTAAGAAGGTGTACTCTTGTTGGACTTTTACACTTTTTATTTGTATTTTCTGTGATTAAAATCAGATTATTTCCTTCTCTTTACATCCATGCACTACTTTGTGTCAGTATAAAACGTACAATCTTTCTAAAATATGTTAAAGTTTAAGGTTATAAGAAGCTATGCCATGTCATCTCTTCGTATCTGTGCTTGTCTTAGAAGGTATTATCTGATATTTTCTTCCTATGGGATGCCCTCCTGTGTGGCAGAGTTCTGGCCGAGCTGGCATGCTCAACAACAAGGGACAAGAGGAGGAGCTGGAGACGCTAAAGACGAGGAGACTCCCGATAGTTGGCGCCCTGTGGTGGACATACTTCTGCAGCCTGGTGTTTAAGATGCTGTTTGAAGGCAGCTTCATGTAAGCTGTGGGGCTGAGGGTTTCCTTTCTGTCTATAAGCACGCAGTGTACTACATGTCCTTCTTCCTCCAGGTACGTCCTGTATGTGGTGTACGACGGTTTCGAGATGCCCCGCCTGGTGCAGTGCGATCAGTGGCCCTGCCCCAACCTGGTGGACTGCTTCATCTCCAGACCTACAGAGAAAACCATCTTCACCGTTTTCATGGCTACTGCCTCTTCTATTTGCATGGTGCTTAATTTGGCTGAACTTGCATACCTCGTCGCCAAGGCTCTCAATAGGTAGAGACGTTGGTTGGTCAGACTACCCAGTGATTACCCAGAGATTTAATTTCTGCACATTTTTAGATTATATTGATTTGTCTTTCTTCGTTGACAACATGTTGTCCAGATGGAGATGAAATGAGCAACGGGAAAGGTAGAGTTGGGTTTGAAGAAGCCTCAGCATATATGTCAACATAGAGACTTTTTTTACTGTTGTAAATGCAGGTAAATATGCTTCTATACTTTATATGAGTCCAGAAATTGTGACCTGAAGAGGACGTCAGCAATTTAACACTAGATTTGGACCCAGAATTGTGTGAATGAGAATGCCAAACAAAATGCCTTTATAGAGCCAGAGTGCCATCTACTGGACAATAATAAAACTACATCTACCCATAGAGGTTCTGATCTTTATTCACAGTTTAATTGAATCCAGTTGAGCAACTATCTTGGACTCCATGGACCACTTTTTTTTCTCCACTTGGTTCACATCTAAGAGCATCACAATTAAGCCTATAATGTTTTTTGGGGATTTTAGATCAACACAGTGTTGTGCATTTTTGGTAGTGAATGGAAAAAGATGTTTTAATACTTTTTTTACAAACCAAAATGTAAAGGATGCATCTTGCAGGATTATCAGTCCCCTCCATCTCATACCTCTCAATAAAACCCAGAAGTCACCTAAATAGGAATTAAGCTGTGTAGTTTAATCTCAGAATAAATGCAGCTGCTCCCTGAAGGTTTCACAAGTTTGCTGGGGAGCGTTAGTGATCCACAGGAGGAATCCTCAGTTTAACAGTACAGGGACTAATGCTTTTTTTTTTTTTTTTTTTAAGAGGGAACAGGTTCATTGAACTTAGCAGAGACACCTCTGGCATAAAACATGGAGGTGGCAATTTTTTTTTTTTTTTTTTTTAAGAGGGAACAGGTTCATTGAACTTAGCAGAGACACCTCTGGCATAAAACATGGAGGTGGCAATGTAGTGAGCTGGACCCTCAATGATCCTTCTGGACACATAAGGCGAACAGCAGAACAGCAAATTCCCATTTAGTTCCCAGAGAGAGGTGGTGACATCACAGCCTGATTCTGGACCAAAGTAAGAAGTTCACTGATCAATTGTGTTGTGGTGAGGGTGGTGGTTAACCTAGACTTCCAATGACTCACTTAGATTTCATTTGGATTAAACCAAATACAAACTTATTTTGTATCATGAAAGATACAAAAAAAAGTCATGTTTCATAACTTAAAAATAATGTACAGGTTGTTTATGCGTTAATTTTTCAGACAAACCCTGGTAGAACTTTTCATAAAGCGACATTTTAATTAGAAAAAAGTTGTATTCATTCTACTTTTTCCACTGCTAATTCCTCTATTTAGGTTAAATATGTATTTATTTTCTGTGTCCCCAGCAAATTAACAAGTAATGGTTAAAATGTTATTTGTTGTTGTTGTTTGCATTCTTGATTTTAATATTTTTAAATTTCACTTAAAAAGTCAGTGTTGTGAATCATAAACTGTCTATTTCTAATGAATAAATCCAATACTGGAATTGCAGAAAGAGCTAAATGGAGATTGCCTTTATAGATAGATAGATGATAGATAGATTAAAGTCGGAATTCTGAGATTAAAGTCAGAATTCTGACTTTTTTCTAATATTATAAAATTTAGGAATCAGTTAATTTTTTTTGTTTTTTCAGTGGCCCTAATCCTCTTCCGTAGGATTATCATTCGAACTTTATTTTAAATAAATCAATGCATTAGTATTCATTTAAAATATACTTTATTGATACTCCATACGTAAACCTGATGATTATCTATTGCAAATAAATAGGCTTTATTATACAAATGACAAACCATTATTTAAAGTTTATAAAATAGGTTTGTGTTAGAATAGTAAATAAAAAAATTAAATGGGAATTTTTTATTGAATAAAATTATATGAATCTTAAAGTTTGTTTGATTTTTTTTTTTTAGGGGGGTAAAATTATGAAATGTTAAACTTTTTTTGTGTTTGATTGTGACGTCAGAGTGGCTTCCAGCCGCCGCTCGCATATTTACGCGCGCGCCCTCCTGCCCCCCCTCTCCTGTGCCCCATGCACGGGGGGACACCAGTGAGTGTGAACGACAGTGGCGGAGCGCCTTGTTCCACGCGGGACGCAGCCGCTGCGCTTCGCGGGACGGCTTCCACTCACCGCCTTTTTTTATCTCCTGTCACCACAAGAAACCACGCGTCTCTTATAAAAAAAACAACAACAAAAAAAAACCCCAAAGAACCAAACTTTTCCATCTTTCTCTCTGCGTCTCTAACCCCCCTCTCCCCTCCCACCGGGACTAAAACCACGCAGGAAAAGAAGAGGAAGCAGGGAAGGCTGGAGAGGAGCCGAGCCTCAGAGGGGAGCGGTAAGCAGGTGGATGCTGGAGTGATGGGGGAGGGAGGAGGAGGGATTATCATCCCTCCACATGCTGGATTATCAGCTCCTCTCATGCTGCGTTCACTGCCTTTTGGAAACGGGAAGCTTCTGATACTCTTGCACAGTGGAACCCAGTAATTAAATTTGAGGTGTTTTGATACAAAAAGTGATTACTGCCATTCAAATTATAAAATAATTTCATTTTACCTCATATCAAGCTAGTTCAACATAACTTTATGATTATTTTCTTTCAGTTCCACTCTGCTTCCTTTTTGATGTGGTTTATTATTTCTTATTATTCCATGGCAGCATTATGCTTTTGGAATAATTATGTCTACTTTTTCTTCACTTTAAATCTTTTTGTTTCTGCAACTCAGTCATTTCGATACTAATAATCCATTTATATATTGGCACAGCTTCAAAAATGTTTTTATCCCTCATTTAAGTATTTACCAAAAGTATTTTTGCTTTTATTTATACTTTTTTGTCTATATGCTGATCTTATCAGTTATAATTTGAAAAATATGCATCCAGAAAATGTATCAAACTGCAGTCGAGGTGAATGCACAAAGTTAGAAATTAATTAGCCGATGAGCTGATTGAGATAAGGTGTGGCTACAGCTTTTATTTTTAGGTATTTTGGTGTGTAAACAGCAAATGAAGAGTTAACTGTTTGGGGCGTTTCAGGACAAAGAGCACTGATCCATCAAAAGCGTGCAGCAGCCTGGACAATATCCATCTGGCAGCTTCTCTATTGTCTGTCCCGACCTGTGGTATTTCATCACATCAACACATAATGTACATCTGCACATGGTGCTGATGCACCAGACACTGATATGTTAGCTGAGAGAAGGATTAAGTTTTGCATTTCTATTCATTCTCCCCAGAATTCCAACCTTGTAGAGCAAGCTTTGGTTTCAACTGTTATCTCTCCACTAACTTTGATTTGCTGCCCTCTAGAGTAAAATCTCTGCCCATTATTTGTTGCTTAATGACTAAAGTGGGATCAGATTAGTTAGATAGAAACTGTGTAGATCCATCTTCAAGTCTTTTCAATTTCATCTATGTCTGGGCTTTGACTAGGCCATTATAACAAATCAATATACTTTGATTTCAACTACTGATTCTCGATCCTGGATTAAGGAACAGCAATGTATGGCATGCTGGGGGCGCAATGCAGTGGATTGGGATTGAAAGTGCATTGGAATAGAAACTTGCAGAACAGTGGGTCCTGAGGATCAGGATTGAGAACCTTTCTTCTATTCTTATATGTCTGCTGCACACTCTACATGGATTTAGATAGTCTTTAGAGCCACTGGTTTGCTAAACTTCTTAAGCACCAGATTTAGGGATTGCACAGCTAGTTCTCATGCAAACAATTTCTTCCACCTGAGCGGTGGATCTCTGCAGCTTCTCCAGTGTTACAACATGGCTGCCTCTCTGAGTAATGATCTTCATTTTAATCCTGTCAGTTTAGGTGGATTGCCTTATTTTGGTAGCTTTACAGCTGTGCTATACTCTATCCTTTTGAATGATTAACTGATCACTAATGTTTGTTCACTGATGAACAGCATCTTTTAACTTCAATTGGTGAATCTGTGTTTTACTGTGTAGGTTTCAGAGTAAAGGGGGTGAATACAAATGCATGGCGAAAGTTTTAGATGGTCATGTCTAAAAATTGGTTAAAATTGCTGACTCGTTTTCTTTCTGGTTGTAACTTGGCAAAATGATGAAAAGTTGTGAGTTCTGCAAAGCACTGTACATCTTATGAGACTATTGCTGATTTAAGGTTAGGGAAATTTAAAAAAATTAAGAGCTTTGTTTGGAAGGGGAATTTTCTCTCTGCACTATAGCAGGCAACTTGCATGTTTTTTGGCTTTCATATCAGTGTATCTCAGGGAAACATTTGCTCCCCTCAGCATTCCTGGGATGTGATGAGTCCAGCATTCAACATGGACAACCTGTTATCCACTCATTCACTTCCCACAGATGGTGAGGCCATTGTCCTCTCACCAGCAGCCCTACAGTGCACACACTCAAAGTTATAGAGGGGCTTTTCTTTTTATTTATTTTTTAGAGTTTTAACGGCACTAGGGGCTTGTTTTTCTGACAGTAGGCTGACAGGAAAGGGGGTATGAGTGGGGGACAGCATGTGGCAAAGCACCACAGGCTGGATTCGAACCCCCGCCGGCCGTGTCGAGGCATGGGTCGTGCACGCTAACCACTGCAACACCTGCATGCCCATGGAGGGGCTTTTCAAGCAAAGTTCATAATTAGAGACTAATCTGCCCTTTAGGTTTAAAGGTATACTATGCAACCAGTGTTGATTTTCCAGCGATGCTCCCCCCAGAGGGCGAACGTAAAAGTGCACTGTCGTAAATATGCTCAGCTGTTCTCCTGGTTTTTCCGTCAAGGCAGGCGCGGTTGTTTTGAGCTTAGCAGACAGGCGAACGCAACAAATCACCATGTCTACTGCGGTAAGTGACTATTTTGTTCCAATTTTCGAGTTTGAAAATTCTCGCTGGTTCCACCTTGATAACTGCACAAATATCGCCACTGCGCTAGCAACGAGCATGCCTTTCACTTGGGGCGTGTAGCAGTTCTCGCCGTAAAGCAAGACCGACTCTCGCGATGTACGAGACTTCTGAGCCTGTGGGTGCGGGCAGAGGGCTCCTACAATTGCAAGTACGGTATTTCCCCTACAGACCACCAGGGCGGCCGAGAAAACCTTTGTTCGACCTGAAATGACTAATTTAATCATCCAAAACGTTATGGAACACATTAATTAACTGAAAAATGTTGCATAGTATGCCTTTAAGTGACAATCAGCCTTGAGTAAAAACGCTGGTTCAAATTTTTACTTCTTAAATCTGTAAGGTTGTAAATATTTAATGCCACTGTATGCACTCCAGTGTTGAGGGAATAGGTCAAATTTGCCAAGGTTGTAGAAAGACCGAAGTGCATTATCTGATACCAATGTCTACAGAGCTGCAATAATTTTGTTGGTCCAAAGGTCTTCTAGAGTCTTCTCGTAATTAGTAGCCAGGATTTGTTGTGATGATCACCAGTCTTTTGTCTTCCTCCAGGCTAGATAATTAAGTGAAGCATGGGTGACTGGAGCTTTCTAGGGCGACTGTTGGAGAATGCTCAAGAACACTCCACTGTGATTGGAAAGGTGACCATCCTTTGGAATACCCTAAGAGAGTTTCATAACTCTTTGGTGTACATGAAAAAAGACTGACTATATCTCCATCACAAGGCAATTATGCCTCAGAAATCTTTGACTTAACTTCTGTTTTGTAATTGTTTAATCTTTCCTTTCCAGGTTTGGCTCACTGTCCTTTTCATTTTCCGTATCTTGGTTCTTGGCGCAGCCGCTGAAGAAGTTTGGGGTGACGAACAGTCAGACTTTACCTGTAACACCCAACAACCTGGTTGCGAGAACGTCTGCTACGATGAGGCCTTCCCCATCTCTCATATACGTTTCTGGGTGCTGCAGATCATCTTTGTCTCTACGCCCACTCTCATTTACCTTGGCCATGTGCTGCACATTGTACGCATGGAGGAGAAGAGAAGAGAGAGGGAAGAAGATCTCAGGAAAGCTGGACGACATCAGGATGATCATGACCCTTTCTACAATGATGGAGTTGGTGATGGAGGGGGAGGAGGTGGTAGAAAGGAGAAGCCGCCAATCCGGGATGAGCATGGGAAGATCCGAATCCGTGGGGCATTATTAAGGACCTATATCTTCAACATTATCTTTAAGACTCTCTTTGAGGTGGGCTTCATCCTAGGGCAGTACTTCCTCTACGGCTTTCAGCTGAGGCCGCTTTATAAATGTGGCCGCTGGCCCTGCCCCAACACCGTGGACTGCTTCATCTCCAGGTAAGGGAATTTCAGTTTTGTTCCTCTTCAAACTATTTAACCAAGCTTTGAATGGTTCATCTCTACATGCAGCTGAAACACAGTACAACACAGACACAATAGAAAGGATTACTAACAATTCTTCACCATCAGACAGTTAATAAGACTTAACATCTCCTACTTTAGGTCAGTTAAGATTACCAAAGGGATTAATATTTACTAAATAACATAATAGACTACAGTTTGCGAACTGATCATATTTTTGGATGACCATAGCAGAGGAAAACTCTTCTTGTTTTAACCTTTGCAAAGTCGTTGAGTCATATGTTGGCTATAATGGTTGAGACAGATCTTCAATAGAGATTTTAGAAAAGGTCGAGTACCTCCCAACTTCGCCAAAAACCTTCCAGCAAGTGTTGAGAAAGATAACTGACTGACTGTGGAACCTCGGAGTAGGTAGTCCAGCTTTTGGACCAAATAATTACCCTTGCAGAGTGGCCAAGGCAGTCATGGGAGTTAGGTTGTCAAGTCTAAACATTTTAAATCTAAACTCATGCTTATGACTATCTCTCCCAGGGCAATTTGTTGGAAAGTGCTATAGGGTACCAGATATAATCGGGCTGCTTGGTCCTTAGACAATGAAAGCAAGAGCTGTCCCTGCAGTTTGATGCAGACTCTAATGTCTTACTAATGCAGTTCAGTTCACTGTTCCTTTTTGTAGTGTACCTACCTAGACAGGATCTCAATGGGTAGCAACAGAGAGGAGGATGTCTTTTTTAATAAGCTAAGATTCTAGGAGATTCCTCTTTTCAGGTGATGTAGTTAAGTGGCAGTTCCCAGTACAAGATCCCCAGTATACAAGGGATTTGTTTAAAGTCAAGCATGAGAGAGCTGCAACTGGATTCAGCTCAAGTCTGAAGCCATGGTTTTTAACCATGAAACAAAGCTGGGGCCAGAAATCCTGGAAACTCAGCAATCACTGAATCAGGTTTTTCAAAACATTCTCTTGAATAGATTTACTTAAAGGTAGAATAAGATATATTCATTTATTTAAGAAAAATAATGTGAAGAAGGGGTCAGGGAGTGGTTGTAGCTGGAGTGGTGGTAGAGAGAGTCATCATTTGTCACACATCTTGTTTTGGTCTACAAAGAGTATTGGACAGCCCACCCAGTGGTCAAATTCTCCTGTGTTTGAGACATTTCAAAGGCAAGAATAACATTTCCTGGTTATTGAGTTTAGCTTAAAAATTTAACTTTGCAGAGTAGCTGCTAAAAAGAGTCACTTTGTCTCAATTTTGAGCGGAAATGATCACACTCTGCCTCGCATAATCACTCATCGATTGGAGAAAGTGGGAGTTTGCTTACTGAGCAGGTGAAGTGTCGTCAACGTAGGTGCATTGTACAAATGAGAAGTTTGTGCTTTGATTTTAGGTGAAAGAAAAGCAGAACGTAGTTAAAAGCTCAAAAAAGTTAATCTGCATGATAGCCTCTATGATTACACCAAAATAAGCATCCCATATAGCTTTTCTGCACTGTGTGTATCCACCTATTGCAAAATATATCTATTGAAAATCTTGATGCCCAAAAAAGAAAAGTGAACGACTTCTAACAATTTTAAAATCCATAAGAGGATTTGTTTTGGTCTAACTTTTCCATGTGTCACTGCTCGATCCATGCATGCTCCTTAGAAGTCCTCCGAGCTTCGCGCTGCAGTGGAGGTGTGTGAAATTTGAGGGCTGAGAACTTTACAGTGCAGCGGAGCTGGAGAAAGTGTACATTTGGGGTTATTCTTTTTCCCTGGCGAGGAAGTTTAAGCATTTTGATTTCTGATAGAAAAGTAATGACAGGGTGAAGATGGAGGTGGAGAGACAGATTGGGCCTTTGTCGGTTGTATTGTGGGTATTGCTCTGGTCTGCTGATGTAAAAAAACTAGCTGTGCAAAAATGTGACACTGAAAAATTAATAATTTTCTTCATGCCCAGTCTATACAGTAGCAATAAGATATTAACTATAACTAAATTATGAAAGGGTCAGTTAGGGCCTTTAATCAGGATGTCGTCTCCCTTTGAAGGTTTACTGAAGGGACTGTTTCACCCCTCTGGACTTGGATGAAGATGAAATTTCTTAGAAAATCTTCAAGAAAATCTTCGTATTATGATTTGTAATTTCTGTTAGATTTTTTTTTATTTTATATTAAATATTAAAACCCATATGTTTTTTTGTTGTTGTACCAGGCCTACTGAGAAGACGATCTTCATCATATTCATGCTAGTGGTGGCATGCATCTCATTGGTCCTCAACCTCCTAGAGATCTACCACTTGGGCTGGAAAAAAGTGAAGCATGGAGTCAGGAAGGAGTTTGTCCCTGACAGTCTGTCTCTGATTGGTGCCAATGAGCCTGGAGACACGGAGACGATTCCTGAACAGACTTCTGCCCCGGGGCTCCAGAGTTTGCCTTTGTGTGTTGTGGGGGGTGAAGTTACTGAAGGAGGAACTTACAGTCACACTGGAACCTCCCACACAGTGATCTCATTAAACCCCAACAGGGTTACAATACCTCCATCTGAGGGGCATAATGTAGAAAGTGCCTCTTTTCACCACGATGACGTCCTAATGGGGTCGCTGCCTGCTTCTATCTACAGTGAGAATGAGGAGAGCAATGTTCATCTCGCAGAGATGCAGCAGAATTGGAGAAACATGGCTTTGGAGCTCCGCAATCTAGATGAGGAAAATCCCCCCACTTATCCTCTTCCATCTCCCTTCCCTTCTACCTCTTCCTCCTCTCAGGATGAGACAACATGTTTGGAAGAGAAGCAACGATCCACATTTCCAACACTTCCTCGCAATACACCTCTTTCTCCGCTGGCGCCTAAGGAGACAACTGAGGACGCAGAAAACAGTGTCACCGCAGTGCCACATGATGACTTTACAGTGATAACGAGGGCGGAGATGCATCAGCCTCCCACAGCTGTAGGGACAGACTTAAGGAGGCAAGGAAGCAAGACCAGAGCTCGTCCTGATGATCTGGCTGTGTAGCTAAAAATGTACACACTCACACATTACCCAAACCATGCACACGTGCTTTACTTTACACATACACACATGAAACCAAACCAAAGTCTGTTCTGCAGCTTCAAATTATTTTTTCAATAAGAAAAAAAAAAACACCATCTTTAAAAATACGATTTGAACATCAATAGCAACCTCATGTCTGTATGATAGCTATGAAGATTTGTCACCAATAGACATGGAAATATCCAGTGATGCTTACTGTAAAGCTTAGAGGTAGACCAAAGAAAAGCAACGTTAGTGGGTCTTCTGATTCTGAGAAATCAAACGTGAATAACTATGCTGAGGGTTGATAAGTTCTGTAAATTCATTTTTTTTTTGTCTAAGAGAGCTTATGCTAAGAGGTTTTAATCATAGATGAAGACATTTGTTTTATCAAAGTAATGGGGCAAGAAGACAGAAGCATTTCATATTTGATTAACACTCATTAAAAAAAAGTTTTCAAGTTTTTTTTTTTAGACATTTTATGGGTGTTCTTTTTTTTATCTCAATACACTGCCATGGATGTAGGGCTATATCTTAATGCCATTAGTAGACAACTTCAGTATGATGAAATTCAGCTCGGATTTATTCTGATTCAGTGATTCATCAGATTTGATACCAAAATATAAAACTAGTTAGATTGATGGAAGGTCATAGTAATTTGAAACTGAATGAAAATAACAGATTATTCTCAGGGCTGTCTTTTAATAAAATCCTTGTATTCTAATTCCAATCATTCTCTAAAGGATATAAAAAAATCTAATTGTGTAAAATGGTGAACAGTACATACTAAATAAAATTTCTAAGAGTTTTTCTATCTGCACCTTACTGGGAAAATGTGATTGTAAAGAACATTGCTAGCTGCTACAATCTCAGTATTAAAACCATTTTTGACAGAGTTGTGTGAGAATAAAGAAAATATTGGCATAATATATAGTGGTAAATCAGAATATGCACATACAATTGCACATTATTCCCACATTATGTACAATGGTTTTATCACCGCTCAAAAACCTTTATTTTATGAGCCTATTTTCTGAAATGATTGTCACAAGCACCTCGAAAATAGTGCAATGCAAAAAAGAAAAACTAAAATACCCTAAATATGTCAGGGAAAGTCAGAGGTTGGGGGTCATTTCGAGTATATTTTTTTTAGATGGCTGCTGCACATTTTCTCTATACAAGTGGTTTACATAGTAGTATATAACCTTTGTTTTTGACATTTGTTTCTATTGTACTTCAATATATCGAGTTGTTAAAAATAGACTGTAATTGTTTGTAAAAGCTCTACAGAATTTAACAAATCCAACTGCAACCAATAAGTGCTCAATTTCAACTGTGATGTTGCACAAAAGTATGGCTTCCTTTGAAATAAATTATTTTTATTAAATTCCAAATTCCTAAAAGATAAACGCACAATAGGAATAATGCAGCGCAATGCTTAAATTGCATCGATTTTGGCTTCAGTGTTACGTCTGGTTCTGCTGGAGGTTTCTTCCTGTTAAAAGGGAGTTTTTCCTCTCCACTGTCGCTACAAGCATGCTTAGTGTAAAGGAAGGCTGAAGGGTCAA